AGTTATGAGGCCCAACCAAAATTAATCACGGGAAAATTACTTTGAACCCTATCTTTTAACTTTTCAATTTAGTAGCCAAGTTCATTTCGTTGTCTCCTCTTTCTTCGAAAGTTTGTCCGTCTTCAAGTGCGCTGATCATTTCAGCATCATATAATACCATGTTAATAGTGTGAGTTTAGCTTATCTTAGGGAGAAAATGTATCACTCCGTAGATCTCATCTTATTACCTCTGACAGTTGTAATACCATGTTAAATAAGGAACTTCATGAAAGATGAAGGTAACATTCCATATTTCATTTAAAGCATGTCTGCCTAGGACTCCTTGGTAGGCTGAACTATTATCCACTAACTATAGAGATGCCTCTCTCAACTGCAAGAGTGATTTTTCCTCTTTGGATAATACTACCTCCAATGAACCTATAAAGTAGAGAGGTCATACAGCTCATGATCTACTAGCATTTTATTATATTTGGAACCAAATATAATGTTGACTGAATCCCATTGTCCACCAACATGTGCTTCAACCAATTGCAGGCTACTATAGCCCTTACCACTAAGACCTCATAGTAGGGATAGTGTAGACTTGCCGCATCCTCCTTGGTAAAAATAATAGATGACACATCCCCAGCCCCATGAGGATTGTTATAGACTATGCAGCTTGCCATTTGAAGATCTTTAGCTCCCCTAGTATAGTTCCTTCGTACTTTTGGGACTCACCTCATATATGTGGACCTTCTATCACTGTGTCTATCTCTCGGATAGATGCATGACATCCACTTCAGCTGGGGGTCCATCCTTTGCCTTTGCTTATTCCTAGGCCTATCTCTATCATCATTCCTTTTATATTAAATGGAATGATCTTTAAAGCATCTTCTCGCCTAGTTTCATCCATGATATAGAACTTGCCTTAGGGAAGATGAATTCCCTCGTGAAGGATATTTTCCCTATGTTCACGGGGATTATCTCGCTCCACAAATGGAGATACATCCTTGCACTAACTTATATCGTAGACATGAACTCGATGGTAAGTACAATATGTTGCCTATCATTATAAGACCTATTCGTAGGCCTATTGCCTATCCCCTAAGCCTTAGAAAGATTGGCCTACTTGGGACAGTTCTTGGTTCCGTATGGTTGCCAGTACAACCTCTTCATAGGCTAGGGTTGATACAACATTCATGGTAACCATGGCCAAGACTTGGCCATCCATTATTGGTTTACCAAGTGGAAAATAGAATCTCAACCCATTTATCTCTAAAGAGGTGAAAGCCCTTGTGCAACCCAATTATAATGATCAATCATCTCTTCACTGATTATTTCAACGTTACTTTTACCTATTCATCATAGGTGGTAGGATTCTTATTACAAATATCTCTCCAGAATAGGGTATTCATATTGAGTCCTCTTATCTTGGAATTGATGAATATAGGCTTTCCCATCTTTTTTGGCCAATTATTAATTCAAGAAGCCTTTTTGAAGTCAAGCCAACTCCTGATACTCACCGCTATTATTCTATTATACCAAATCTCGGCCGCTCCATTTAAAGTTAGATGGAAGGCTGTACACTTCAGTTATGGTTCTCGAGTTCTCCTTATCCCTTCTTTCACGTCTATTTCTAGGTAGGGCACTAGTGGATCTTGACCTTTCCATATGCTCATGTCTTGAAACAATAAAAGGTGATTGTGGCCCATTTCTAGTTACTGAAAGCTGCTGAGGTGGCTTATATCTAGGCACCAATGGTCTGACTCTATCAAAGATACTGGTGGGCCTTAGGGACCTTTATTCTTGCTCATATTCAGTGGATTATCTTCTCCAAAGAACCGATCATTTGTAAGTCAATCGAAAGCATAATCTGAAGACACGTCCACTCATACCTCCTTTTTATTGGGGTTGGCACATCTTCTGTATTTACTAGAATGTGTCTTTTGTCTTTGTACCTCATTTTCTTCTTGTAGGTCGAAGAAGCCTGGTTGGGATATGTTTTGAGACATTTGATAACTTCCTTATCCGTGTATTTATAATAGGAGCTCTTGCATGGCGACATTTTGTGTCGCAATACTTCTTATATTGGTGACCATTCGACCACTTCTACAGTTAGACGTGCAAATATCCTACCACCTCAGCGGTGACAGTGATATGGCGTCTTGGTGGTTGACATGGGTTTGGAAGACCTCTTCTTCAAAGGCCTAATTATTCCTTGGATTTACATCTTCTTCACTGGCACTCATTGTGGGTGGACGCCTCCTTTATTCAAAAAGGGATCCCAAGTAAATTTTTGCCTCAAAATACTCTTTTTTCAAGTAAATCTCCACTTAATCTTTTTTCAAAGGAAAAATTAAAGCATTTTTTAGAAAGTTTTTCCCATGGGATGTCGTGGTTATAATGGATTTTCAAGAACAGTGCCAATTTGTTGACCTTAAAAAATATACTTCCAACGTCGCCAACATATCTCCACTTGCATCAACAAGAGCTCCTTTTCTACACTTGAACAAACTCTTAGTCACTTATGGTCTTCTTCGATTGTGGAAAAGGCAATCACGAACATTCCAATGATAAACTCTATCGATGAGGAAAAAAATATTAAGTGTGGGACGAGGTTTAAGGTACAAGTCACAAAAGTGTATAAACATAGAGAATATATGTAAAGAGGGAGAGAGAGAGAGAGAGAGAGAGAGAGAGAGAGAGAGAGAGAGCAAAAAAAAATCTTACAATGTTTGAAGAGTTAAAATTTCATTACCTCTAAGTTGGTGTGGGTTGTCAGCTTTATAGTGGGATGACTAAAGTGGTGGCCATTCGATAAGAAAGCATGTGGCTTCATCTTAATAGTTAAACCATCCTATCATAGGTCATTACATCAAACATCTTTGTCCCTAGAAAATTTTCATGTATTCTGAAAAAAAAAAAAAAAAAAAAAAAAAAAACCACC